CCCCAAAACCCCAAAACCCCAAAACCCCAAAACCCCTACTTTTCTAAAAATATTGATTATATTTTCTAAAAATGACACCAAAGTTCACATCAATGACTATTTTGTCTTTGTGCTTATTGGTAGCGACAGCAATCGGACAAGTTCAGAGATGAGCTGGGCTTGATCCTTCCGCAGAAGTAGTGACTTCTTACTGGCTCAACCAACCTATAGCTATTGGAGGATCATTTTATGACCCAGCAGACGACAGGTTATATTTAAGCTATGGAGACTCCCCTAATGCAGGTATAAGAAGATATCTGCTAGATGTAGATCAACAGACCACTGAAGTCGAGTATTTATATGAAAATCCTGAAGGAGAAAGTGGCAGAGGACTTACCAGAATTGGCGATCTATTCTATCAAATTACTTACCAAGATGGAATTCTCAATGAGTTCACTCTAGGCTTTGATGATGATGAGAATGCTATTCTTGAGCTCCAGCATCAGTATGCTATTCCAAGAGATGATAATTGTGTTGTCCCAGAAGGATGGGGACTAACCGATGATGAAACCTTTCTATACATGTCTGATGGATCTCATCATATTTATCGAATTAATCCAGAGACTTTATCTGAATTTGATCCTCATGAATTTAGAATAATATATGGGGCTGATGAATGACCAGAAGATTCTCACTTCGATCATATTTACTCCATTTTTGAATCAGATACAGGAGACAGGATGGAGGGAATAAATGAACTTGAGCTTGTCAATCAAAATCTGTATGCAAATATTTATGATGAATCACTAGAGACTTATAGAGTTATCTCAATTGCAACTGAACCTGACAGTGAATCAATGACAATAGAAAGAGTCTACGATTTCTGATTACTCCATGAGCTGCTTTGTGAGGAGCTGTTAAGAGCTGGAGTGAGCACCACATGAGAAGGTCCTGCCAATTTAAATGGGATAGCATATCATAACCCCACTAACTCTTTCCTTCTCTCTGGTATTAACTGGCCAATCTTGTTCCAGGCTACTCTTGATGACAATTTAAATATTCAATAAATAATATGTCAAAAGGGGTTTTGGGGTTTTGGGGTTTTGGGGTTTTGGGG